GGTTTCTTTTGATCTTGATTTGTAACTGTGACTGTAACTGTGTGGAAAAAAAAAACAAGATAAGAGTTAGACATGCTTCATTAGGAGAAATAAGGCAAGAAAAAAAAACGGAGTGAGTTGGATAACAATCAGAACGGACATGCGAGCTGTTTTCACCGAGGCACAAATCAAGTCAAATCATCTCAAAGCTCTCAGCAACAAGGACAGACAAATTACTGCGTGGTCGGTGGTGTTGGGGGGGGGAGGCGGGAAATTTCGTTATTATCTATTTTTCTAATCCACCGTCGGATGAAAACAGAAGATGAAACAGATTTGTCGCTGTACGTCTCATGCTGTGCGACATCGTAGAAACCAGAGGCTAAAACTCGAAATCGAGCGAGGCTCGAGGTCGGAAAAATTCCCCAGAGCTGGAGCGCAGATAAAACTAAACTTACATCGTCCTAAACTGCTTAAGCCAGAAATCTGTGTGATGAAAATGTCGAGTGACTTTTAATGCGTCAGTGAAAGGAGGCGTCTCAAAGGAAGCGTTGTCAGAAGAAGACACAGTGGTTTGTTTTTCTTTTTCCATTTTCAGAGACTTTAATTTGATTTGAGCACACGGTGACAGAACAAATCTCTTTGCACAGAAATATAAACCACACAGCCGTGCGGACCTATTGATGGCGTCTGGCTGGGGGATAAAGGGTGAGGTGTGCCTTGTACTGGTGAGGACAGATGGCGGTAATAGTTGGGAGAAGCATGCTTACCGGACCGACTTAGGCTCCGTCATTACACTGCATATAGGAGTGGCTTTACTGTTAAGCTCAGATAATGTTGGTATGGCTCGTGTTTTGGGTCTCTCTCTTATTACGGTGTCACATACAGGCCATATTTCAGATCGTTTGAGTTCTTAGCTAGAATGTAAAGAAGCACAGAGATAACTAGCAGTTAAGTCAACACTTAGATTCTGCTGGATTTCAACATGTTTTATATATTAGTACACCGGCTAGAGGACGCTTTGGTTAAGACAGCTTTATATGAAAAAAGAAAAAATTCATCCGAACAGTGTTTTTGCTTTTACTCTGTTTAAAAAAAAAAGAAGCCTGATTTGTTCCTGATCTGCTCTAACTGCGTATAGTGTATATCTGCCAGGGTTGAAAACAGGAACCAATCCCGGATTTATGTATTCTTAATAAAGTGACGCAGACCTGGGACCTGCTGTATCTATATTTTCAATTCCTTAAACTGCTGTCTCGCTTCATTTTGAATCAGAATTCCTTTTGAAATTCCATGTTAAGAGCTGAAAAGTGCCATTTAATTGTCCTTTAGCATCCTCATTATATTATTATTATTAGCATTATTATTGTTGTTGATGCATCTGTTGCTCCCCTCATTCCTTTTAACTTGGAATTTCAATTCACTTTACGGACTGGAGAAACGTGCAGTCCTAAAGTGTTGCTGTTACATGAGTGTAATGACATGCAAATCATCCCAATGACCTCAGACACTGTAGCCACTCTCAACCAATCACACACTGTCGTCACAGCTCTGATAGTGTTCCAAGGTTATGATACAGATGCATTTTTTTACAGTGTATGTATGATTTGCTGAAATAAAGGCTATATTGACCAATGCTTGCTTGGCTGTGTCGTCACGTGTGTTGTATATCGTTATATTACTATATTTTATGGTCCATATCCATTGCTCCAGATGTGTTTATAATCAGGAAAAGACCGAATATTCAGACTTTGTTGTGCAATTAGAGTCGAGGCACGTACTTGTCGTCCATTTTAAGGTGAACATCTATCTGAGGTGTGTAATTAGTTCTTGAGATTAAATGGCACCTCATCTGCCATAAGTTGAAGTTGGAAGTAGATTTGAAAGGACAGGAAGCCGACAGTGGTCAGGAGTGACAAACTCTCAAACGCTTGTTTGCAGCCAGTGGTTTCTGTGTGCAGGAACATTACTGCATAATGTAGGAGGTGAACAGGTGAATATTTTATGAGTCACTGTCACACCGACCCCGTACAACACATGTGCATGCTCACACGCACACGCACATACACAAATAAAAGCATATGTACAGAAAAACACGCGTACTAAATAAATTAGTGCAGCAAAAGAGCCACATTCACTGGCCTGGAAAAGTTCTGTTTTGCTTTTCTTTTTTATGTCCAATTCAATGTAAGCAGATCAGAGGAACTCACACAACATGGAAGTGTGTGTGTTGGCAAAACAGACCTGCAGCAGCACCAGATAGGGAAGTAACTGGGAAAATATCAAATCCTCCCCTTATATGTGCTGACCATGAGTGAAATGTGGCGAGATATGATCTCATTGGATAATTTCCACACCGTGGAGCCTGGAGTTGGAGACGGCCCAACAGCTAAAAGTGATGTGTGGAGGAGACAGGACGACTGAGCGCTGATGGGAAATGCCTCAAATTGCAGGAAGCACTTTTGATGTTCGGAAATCAGGTTTCTTGGATAAGCACCGTGCTGTGACGCAGGTTCTTTTATCACTTCCACACTCTGGTGCATGATGAGATATTGTTACTGTGTGAGGTGCAACCTACTTAATGTGTGTGATAGGTCATATTAATAGTGAATTAACATGTTAGTAATAGTGAGTTCAATCTTATTTATGTTCTACATGTATAAGCACCATTGGAAAGGCCTTAAATGCAGCTTCCAGGGCAGGCTGCTGAGGAGGCAGTATGGTTCACCTTAATGTTTCTCTCACACACACACACACACACACAC